CTTGAGAGTTCACAGCCTCTGTGGTCATACCATTTGAGGGTTTTGATTTGGGTATTGTGGTCAACTCCAAGCATTTGTCAGCACTCACTGGGGCTATTAATAGAAAAATGCACAAAGTTATATTGTATTAGATTTTTTGTTCCAGTGTATTTTTCCATGGAAGTAATAGAACCATTCCCTTTAATTTAAAAAAATAATTCCATGCTGACATTCCATTATTCAAACATACACTAAGTTGCTCAGCTAGTTTTAGCACTAGGTTGTTCTCTGAATAAAAGCCAGATATTTTATTCTAAAAACAAATGTCATTTACTATACATGGGGAATTATGATACAAGATTAAATAAAATAAAATTCCAAACAAATTCCTTTGACTAGCTTTTTGCTGGTTTTTATGGTAAGAAAATAATTAAATCTTCCTAGTCTGCTTAAATAGATCAAATTCATTTGCTTGATGATTAATGCATTTCAAGCAACACTTGTAGATCACCTACCATGAGAAAAATGTTCTAGAAATTCATTCAGGGATCTTCTCCAATTAAAACCCAGCAAAAAAACAGAAGATAAGATGTGGATGTATATAAACAAAGCTTGGGAAACAGTTTCTCTGTCCAGAAGATTCCTCCTTCTGAGTCCCCCCAGTGAGGAGGTATACTGCTTTCGTTCATCTGCTGGAGGTCTTTGGATCATGAGGCTGTTAGTGTGACCTTCACGGAATAATCCTTCTCTCCAGTACTGCAAAAACAGAATCTGCTGTAGGTCCATGCAGAAATGAACAGATGTGTTCTCTACCCAACTTGTGGCACTTTTCTGGGCAGCTCCTCATGTAGCATTTCAGATACCCTGAGTTTCCCAAGGTTTTCTGGATTCCTTGGCTCATAGTCTCTTACTCAGTCTTCAAAGCCAGCATTAACAGGTCAAGTTCTTCTCACATCGAGTCACTCTGACCTCTTCTGTTGCCTCTTTTACTTTTAAGGGCCCTTGTAATTGCCCTGGGATCACCCACATACTCCAGGATAATTTCTCCGTCTCAAGGTCTTTAACTTGATCACATCGGCAAAGCTCCTTTGCCACTGGTTTCTCGAACGTGGACGTCTTTGGGATCATGGCAGGCATTCCTCTGCCCACGATACATTCTACACATGTACATATAGTCTGGGTACAGGCTTTATAAATACACTGTAATTGAAATGGTATCTGATTCAACTACCCCATTTCTTCAGGCCTTCAGATACTAAAGTGTGCAATCTTACGCTTTTCAGAATGATTGTATGCTTAAATCACCCTCTCCCCAAACAATGTAACTAGGTCTCTTCTGCATAAACAGATATCATCTTTTAGTAAGACGTACAAACTCTGAAGTCATAGAGGATATTGTGACCTTGGGTGACATTTCTGAACTTTCATTTGTTTATCAGTGAATGTGGGTAATAGATCTTCTTTCATAAAGTATCTAGCACAACACTCACTGGTACTCAACAGCTATTGTTTCTCTCCCTTAGATAGCTACAGCCCCCTCACAATCCCACCAAAATCTAATCAAAAGAGAAAACTCAGACCTCCTATAAGATTGCAGACAATTTTACACATTTGTGTAAACACATACACAGACACACACACACAGACACCATGACATGAAAGGAGTAAAATCAGATGCATAGACTACTTCACCTTGCTTAACCCACAGCAGGGAGTTCTGAGTCCAGTTGGATAGTCTGACTGGACCATGATATCAAATGCTTTGAGACACATCTGCTCCAAAGGTGAGACAAATGGCTATTTTGGTTTATCCTGGAGCCCTTGAAGTCAGATCACAGAATTCTGGAGTTTTAAAACTGGAATCTATGAAAAACTTAACACTTGGAGATCATCTAGTCCAGCAGTTCAGGTGCTGCGCCCTGGAGTCCTTCGGAGTCTTTGCCTTCCAGTGGTGAGAAACAAGAGCTGGGCCACACTTTTGCCTTTCCCAACCTCACCTTGATCAGAGTTAACACTACTTGGGCCTGTTTTAAAAACACAGCTCCTACGTAAAATTTGTCTGATGAAGGGGTTCTGCTGAATTTGCGTTTTTAGTTTTCAAGCCATTGATTTAGCTCAGCCCCCTCATTTTACAAAAATGAAAGGGGTTTGACCTGTGTTACTCACTTTAGCTTGCTGCCTTTCTAGGGGTCGCCATTGCAAGAAGAGGGATCGCTCACAGCCATTGTCAGATATAGCATCAACTGCTCTGCAATCAGCCAAGGGCATTGTGCTGAGAAGCCATCAATTATCCCGAGTAGTCAATGAGAGTTTGCTGTTGTAAAGGGACTCAATTGAAGATAATCCATAAAAAATCAATTACATTATTATTTCTTAATTAGGGCACTTGACAATATAGCTTTCCTCAGCAAAGCCATCAGTGAATAAGCACATAAATACACATAAATAAATGCTGCTTCCATCCCACTGAGCTCCTCAATAAGTTCACAGTGACCTTTATCACCAAATATTCTTCCAGACAAGAACGTTTGCATGTTTAAGAAGACTCCCAAGCTGTTTTTCTCTTTTGGATGGAAAAACGATTCCATCCCAAGTACTAAGATATTAGTAATAATATATTTGTAGATTATTAAAATATCATGCAAAATATATGTAATGCTTTCCAATTTACAAAGTGCTGTCACAGTTCATTTCCTCTCCTTGAGGCAGTGGTGAGCTCAACTCTATACCTTGAAGTATGCCAAATATGCCCTTGCACCAATAACTGATACGGAGGTACCTCACCATACATGATTATTTTCAATGACCCTTCTCCATTTGTCCCTGACCTTATCCCATTTCAAATGAATTTCTTCCAGCTTCTGAGTCATGGCTTCATCTCTCACGTGTGGCCTTGAGAAAGTCCTCTGGACAGAGAAAGTACTCTAGTTTTATTCTTTCCATTGAACCAGTGTTTGTTGAATGTGTGACATGCAATAGACATTATGGAGACAAAGCCTCCTAATTTACAGAGCTTGTGCTCCAACGGACAAGTGGCTTTAATGCAGTGTGAACTCCAAAGCTCTACCGGCTTCTGGAGCATTGAGGAGAATGCCTTTCCCATACTTAGGGGAGAGGAGAAGGCTTTCTAAATGAAGTACCAGCTAAACTGAGACTGGAATAATAAATAGAAGTTAAGAAACAAGATGGAGCAAATTATCATGTTGAAAGGCCCAGGAATAAAAAACTCTGTGGCATAGTATCAGATCTAGGAGTGTCTGGATAGCTCAGTTGGAAAAGCATGTGAGTCTTGATCTTGGAGTCATGGGTCCAAGCTTCACATTGGGTATAGAGATTACTTAAATAAATAAAACCTATGAAAAATTCTCAGATCTAAAAGTAGATCAAAATGACTGGAGCTTGAAATGGGACTGCGGGGCTGATTAGAGCCCCACACAGAGGTAGAGAGAGGGGTGTTGTGGAAGAAAGGTGTTCCAGGCAAGAAGTTCAATATATACAGTTCCAGAGAAAAAAGAAGCAGGGACTGAAAAAACTGACTATGCCTGGTGGAATATGAAGGGTAATGTTTAGCACTGAGGAGAACCTTATAAGACATGTTAAAGGGTTTAAACTCTTCTAACAGTGTAGTTAGTAAGGATACTCCAGAGAAACAGACCCAACAGAATTTGTTTGTTTCTTTGTTTGTTTATTATAGAAAGTGGCTAGGGTCACCTGGGTGGCTAGTCGGTTAAGCAACGGACTCTTGATTTCGGCTCAGGTCATGATCTCACTGTTGGTGAGTTCGACTCCCACATCGGGCTCTGCATTGACAGCATGGAGCCTGCTTGGTATTCTGCCTCCCTCTGTCTCTCCCCCTCCCCATCTTGCTCTATCTCTCCCAAAATAAATAAAAACAAAAAAACTTAAGAAAAAAGAAAGAAACTGCTTAACACAGTAATGAAGGTCAAGAGATCCCACAATCTGCCATCTGCCAGCTGGAGAACTCGGAAATCCATAATTCAGTGCAATAATTCAGTCTGAATTAAAAGGCCTCAGGTGAGGTAGGCAGTTGGGGTCTGGTGTATGTCCAAGAGGCTCAAGAACCAGGAGCCCTAATGTCCAAGAACAAGAGAAGATGAACAGGTCAAGGGAGAATAAGAGATACAGGCAGACAAAGAGAGAGAAAGAGAATTGACCTTTCCTCTGACTTTTTGTCTGTTTGAAAGCTCAACCTCTTCCGGAAGTACCGTGACACACAACCAAAATAACGTTTCACCAGCTCTCCAGGCATCCCTCAGCCCAGCCAAGTCAACACATAGAATTAACCATCACAAAAAAACAAATCTCATTTTTGGTCTGCCCCAGGAGAATCCTTTCTATACACAGTGATCAGTGTTCTTTTTACAACATCCATTGCTACCTATCCTGTTTCCTATTAATCTTAAAACACTCCACTCATGCATGGGATAACATCCATACTCCTTATCATGGACTAGAAGGTTCTACACGATCTCACCCCTGTTTACTTCTCTGACATCATCACAAAATTGTCTCCCGTGGCTCATGTTGCCCCAGTCACATGAGCCTTGTGTTTGTTCTACTAGCATGTTAAACCTCTTTGTGTCTAGGGGCTTCGCACTCGCTGTTCCCACTGCCTAAAATAGTCTTCCCCAGATCCTAACATGACTGGACTTAGCACAGACGTTATCAGCACAGATGTGATCTCAGCCAGGCCTTCTATCACTCTACTATCAGGTTGCCCTTGGCTCAAGCCAAGGCATATCCCTAGCATATCATTCTGATATATTTTCTGCAAGGCTGTCTTGCTATATTGGGTAGGGAAGGCTGGCTGATGCTTTCCTATGTAGAAGGACTCAAAGGCAATAGGAATATATTTCTTATATATAATAGTCCGGGGGGTTGAGGGTATTCCTAATTGAATGGTGAATCTTCTCCTTGCAGTAATGCAGATCCAGGATTCTTCCATATGGTGGCTCTGCTCTTTTCTAGGGCTTTTGTGGGAGGGAAAGAGATACGTGACCTGGAAGTGATACACATTGTTTTTATTTTCTCTTACATTCCATGGGGGGAGAGTGAATCCCCTGACCACACAAGCAGCTACAAGGGCTGTCCAGCTGCGTCCCAGCTATGAGTGCAGCCTGCAAAAAGAAAGCAGGTTTTAGTGGATATTTATCTCTGCGATGGCAGCAAAAATGCTCTTTAAAATTATCATGGTTATTTATCAATTCACTTAGTAGTTACAGTATTATTATTTTATTCCCCCATCAGATTAAGCTGAGTTACGTGATACCAGAAACTTTTTCTATTATGGATCACACTCTAGCTTTATTTCTTAGAATAGGGCCTAGGAGAGTAAATGATGAGTGAATTTTTGTTTAAAAAATACATTCAAACAAAAGCTGGCATTAACTATGGTCTTCATATTCAACTCTCACACTTTTCCCACCATGGTGATGGTTTTCTTCCAGAAACAAGAAGCCAGGGACCTGGCCCTGGCTGACGTAGGAAGTGCAAGTAAGATGACAATCAGTGGCTTCAGAGGTTCGACACAGCTCTGAGATCCTGTGTGGCCCTAAATTTCCTCTAATGTGATGAGGAAGCTTGCTCCTGAGATAGGGAAACTTTGCATTAAATAGCACAGTGACAGGGGCCCCTGGATGGCTCAGTTGGTTGAGCATCCAACTCTTGATTTCGGCTCAGGTCAAGATCCCAGAGTCATGGGATTGAGCCCTGCATCCGGTTCTGTACTGAGCATGGAGTCCTCCCTCTCCCTGTGCCCCTTTTCCCCATTCACTCTCTCTTTCTTTTTCTCTCTCTCGAAAAAAAAAATTAAAAAAGAAATAAGACAATGACTTATATTCAGTGGTTCGGCTTAGGGCTGGGCACATTTTCAAAACTGAAATTGGCCTTGGTACAGACCCCAATACCTTTAGGCATGCAATCAGTTCTGCAGGGATTGTTATACTCATCTCTTGGGAAAGGCAAGCAAACAGGATAGAAATGTGCTTTGAACCAATGAAAGCCTTTCTGTTATTTAAGTGCAGCTAAGGTGCAATATCCTTACTTGGTAAAGTGATCGTACTGATTTCCTCCATGTTGCAATAATTCCAGGATAGTGTCTGGTATTTCGGAAAGAAAGGCTCAAAAACTAGGTGTTGAATATATATATTAGATTTAAAATATCAATGACAATTAGAATGTTTAATTATATAAAAATGAGAAAGCTGGCCAGGAGAGTTCCTCCATATGCTGAGAAGTCCCCAATTCCCCATCTTTGAAAAATGCCAGTGTTACCCAGCATACCCAGTTTTGCCACTTTGATTGCATGCATAGAACAGCAGGATCTCACCAACACCCTCTGCAGAGATCACCTCCTTCTGGAGTGTTTGTGGAAAAGGGGTATTTTGGCATGACTGCTTCAGGGTCCCATTCCCTTGCGTCTCCTTCTATGCTACTCCTGACCTGCAAGTACTAATAAATAACCTTGATTCTCACCCCTACAGCTACCGTTCTTTCACGGTTTTGCTGTATGCAAAGAAATAGCCATTCTCTCTTTTATTTCCCTGAACACACCTCAGCTGCTGTGTATAGTGCAGTCCCCTCTTATCTGTGGGAGGGACCCCCAGTGGATCCCTGAAGCCACGATAGCACTGAACCCCATATACGCTATGTTTTTTTCCTATATATTCAAGCCTACTTGTAAAAGATTAACAACAATAACTAATAATTAAATAACACAACCACAGTAATATCACGTAATAAAAGTTTTGTGACTGTGGTCCCTAAATATTTCATTGTAGTGTACTCACCCTGCTTCTTGTGATAACGTGAGATGATAAAATGCCTACGTGATGAGATGATGTGAGGTGAACGACATAGCCTCAGGCTACTCTTGGCCTTCAGATGATAGGTCAGGGGGAGGATCATCTTCTTCCAGAATGCAGTTGGCCATGGGTAACGAAAACCTGTGGAAGGCAAAACCACGCTAATGGGGGAACTACTGTATGGAACCTTTACTGCAAAGATAAGACGAGTAGTGCTGAACAAAAGCCAACCTAAACTCTTAAATAAAATTCCACTAACCCAAACAGAGAGCTGGTCTTTTTTAAAGCTCACTTGCTTTCACCTTATCAGGACCCAGGATCTATTCTATCTACTGGTAGGAGATACTTGCCAGTCCTCCACCCCAACCCTCAGGTCTTACCGATGCCGCCTCCTGAAGGTTTTCTCTGGGTGCCATTGTTGGCTTTGCCCTCACTGAGTACAGTCCCAAAGTGCAGGAGAATCACTCTCAAGAGCAGCCATCAAGCAGGGTGAAACATTACCCCTATTATTATGCTCCTTTGGTTACTTACATCTACTGTATCTGGATGGTGGCACTTCTACGTGATGATGTGCTGTGTCCCAACTCCATGTGTAGTGGTGTCACACCGGTAGCTGGAAATGGGCGTGGTGAGAGTATTTACACCAGAGAAATGGACAAACACTACAAATCAGGCCTCTTTTTATCCCCAGTGAGCCAACTGATAAACATTTACCAGTATACCGCTGGATGCCTCTGAGGTGCACGTTGCACACTGGCCCCCAGAGTTCCCAGGTGGGATTCAGCTCTAGTTACCCACATATGTTGAGTACCTACATTTCTCTGCCCCGGTTGCCTGCTTTGCCTGCTGAGCTTTTCTGAGATCACCTCCAGAATAAATCTTTGTCTCGGAGTCAGCTGCTGAATGAACTCAAATTAAGACACTACTGGGCACTTCCGTGTAGGTGCATTAAGACCTCAGCCTGGCCTCTGGACTACCTCTGCATATCCAAAATAACCACCTACCCTGACTATGTACCTTTAGCAAAGAAGGAATAGAATCCCTGAGATTATTTTCTCAAGGAAGATTTTCCTGACCACCCTATCTAAAACAGCAACATCCTCCACCATCCCTGGTCCGGTATTACTTTTCTTCATGGCATATACCACCACCTGGCATAATACTAGATATCTGTTTGTTCATTAATTTATTATCTATCTGTTCCACTAGAATACAGGTTCCATAAGGACTAGTTCTTTATTTATTTGCCTCTAATCTCTACATTTTTGATGCAGTCTAAACCCTACCCTATGTTTGATGCAATATACACATTAACTGATCCATCAAACAAAATTGAATCAGACACAGGGGATATAAAGAAAAATATAATGTGATTCTTGCCCTGGAGAAGTTAAGAGGCTAACGGGGGAGACATATATCAAATAATGACAATGCGTTGTGTTAAGAGATGTTACCAGTGGCCTAGTTTATCTATAAGGAGTCTGTTTCCTTAACATCTGGCTTGTGTACCAGTGTTTCTCCACTCCAATCACCCTGGCTCAGCTCAGCCTCTCCTCAGTTTTGTCCCTTTAAATGAGTGCTTCCTCCTGGAATTTAAATCCTCCATAGATCCTATCAGAGTCAGCTTATAAGAATGCAGCTGTGACTATGTTTTTTCCCTCATAAAGGCTCTGAGCTGTTTGGTACTGCCTGCAGAAGAAATTCCAAGCCTTAAACATACTTTCGATACTTCTTCAAGATTGTTTTATCTCCCTTTACTTCTTCAGCCCATTTTTACATCTGAACTCCTAACAATTTCCAAAACAGAGTCTTCTCTTGCTTCCTTTCTCTAACTGGGTGGCTCACCCTTTCCCCACTATATCCACACCCACCGTGACCATCATCACCTGACTGTTGGATGACAATTCACAAATCTCTACATGTCTTACAACTGAGGTATGACTGTCTTTGTTCTTGACAGTCCTTTCAAGGATATTTATATAGTTAACATCCTTAGAAGAGAGAGATAGAGTCTCCCTCTGGAGCAAAGGGTAAGTTTGCTTACTGCTCATTATAAAAGACTTGGACTCACTAAGGTCAAGGTGTCACTCCTGTAATGCAACCTGCTATGCGTTCAGAGGCCTTCAGGTCCCCTTCATGTCTTCTTGTGGGAATTGGGAAGAGACAAAGAACCAAAGGGAAAATCTGCTGAGGTGCTGGTTATTTCTACTGTGTGGAGTAATACTCTGTCATTTGTCTCCAACCCACATGTCATGTTTTCTACCATCATCCATTCAACCGTGGCGGAATAATATTCACTTGCCAAAAGGGTAAAATTTTTGACTACATAGTCCTTGATAAAGGCTAACCTTGCTTAATTTTAAGACTTAGCTGAAGGAATATATTGTCAAAGGAAAACTGAAAGAAAGATGCATTTAGAAAAGGAAAGAAAACACTTATTTTCAAAGAGTACAAAAGAGGCTGTGATAGTCTCCAAAGATGGCCCCTAGCTGGTCCTTTCCTTACTTACATTTCACTCCTCACATCAATGGATTGAGTTTAATTCCTATCCCCTTGAATCTGGGCTGGCCTTAGTATGGCAGCAAATATGTGCTGGGACTTCTAAAAGTAAATTATTAGAAACCTTTTAGGTTCTACTTGGGTCTCTTAGAATACTTTCTTTGGGGACAACCCTTTTTGGGGACAACCCACTCATTTACCATAATCTAAGAAAAATCTAAGTCCCATGGAGAGGCCCTGTATAGGGGCACTGGGGTCAACAGGCCCTACTGAGCTCTTGTTCACACGTAAGTGAGCCACCTTCAACACCCAGCCCAGTAAATCCCCCAGATCAGCCTCAGCCATCACCTGAATGCAACTGTATGAGAAACCTCAGGTGAGAAACACCTAGCTCAGCCTGCTCAACCTGCAATACCATAAGTGATAATAACAGATTGTTTAAACTGCTCAGTTGTGGGGTGGCTCATTATGAAGCAATAGATAAGTGGAGCAAAATTAGACTTCAGAAGGCTTGTATCACCATGTCACCAAGTAAAATATATAACAAATATTTTAACACACACACACACACACACACACACACACAACTATCAATGTAAGCATATTGTTCTTAGCATAGTAGGAAAACAGCAACTTTCTCTGATGTTTATCTAGTTAGGAAGATTATAACATATCTTCAGACTCAGACATCAGCATCGCCAAAAGCAGACATCAAATGATTTCCTTTTTTTTTTTTTTTTTTAAGGAGTCTAGGATAATGGGAAATAGTAAAGGCTTTATTCTTTTGAAGACCTGCCTGTACCCTAACTAACCCTAGCAAGGTGATCCTATTAGTTTTAGTTTGTCTCAGGGTGCATTTATTTTCTTACTGTGGAATGTGAAGAGCACAGTCATAGTAGAAGTAGAACGAAGTGCCAGTTTTTGCTTTTTCAACATACACGAGGCTTTTCCAATCACTCTACTTGTTGTGACATGCATCCATGGGTGGTTTAATATAAAGATCATCTTCATTAGAATATTAGTTATCTTTCGTATATTGTAGGACAGTGGCTCTCAAGCTTTATCAGGAAACAGAATCATCTGATGGGCTTGTTAAAAATCCAGATAATGGGCCCCACTGCAGATTTTCTGATTCAGGTCTGAGGTGGGGTGTAAAATCTTTGGCGCTCTCTCTCTATTTCTCTCTCTCTCTCTCTATTATAGTCATGTGGTTCAAACTGAGTTTTTGTTTGCTTGATTGTTCTTTATTTTTTACTTTTCTAGCTTAATTGACAAATAATCGTGTGCAAGTTTAAGTTGTAAAAGTTACTGAGTTGACATCTATACGTTGCAAAATAATTACTACAATAAGGTGAGCTAACGCATTAATTTTCTCATATAGTACAATTTTGTGTGTGCATAGGGAACTTTTAACCTTTACTCTCTTAGAAACTTTCGAATATACAATACGATACTGTTAACTATAGTCACCGTGCTGTACATTACATCTCTAGAAGTTATTCCTCTTATAATTGGAAGCTGTACCCTTAGACCTCCTTCACCCATCTGCCCTCCAGCCCCAACCTCTAGCAACCACTAATCTACTCTCTGTTTCACAGGGTTTTTTGTTTTTTTTTTAATGTTTATTTATTTTTGAGAGAGAGAGCACAAGCATGAGCAGGTGAAGAGCAGAGAGAGACAGAGACACAGAATCTGAAGCAGGCTCCAGGCTCCAAGCTGTCAGCACAGAGCCCGATGAGGCACTCAAACTCACAAACCGTGAGATCATGACCTGAGCTGAACTCAGACACTTAACTGATTGAGACATCCAGGGGCCCCTCTACTCTCTGTTTTCTATGAGTTCAGGAATTTTTAGATTCCACATATAAGCAAGATCAAACAGTACTTGCCTTTCTCCATCTGATTTATGTCACTTAGCATAATGACCCCAAGTTTCATCCATGTTATTATAAATGGCAGGACTTTCTTCTTTTTTATGGTTGAATTATAGTCCATTGTGTATATATATATATATATATACATATATATATACATTGTGTATACATATATATATGTATATATAAACCATGTTTTCTTTCTCTATTCATTAATGGTCACTTAGATTGTTTCCATGTCTTGGCGATTGTGAATAATGCTGCAGAAAAGATAGAAGTGCAGATATGTCTTTGAGATAGTGATCTCATTTCCTTCAAATACACACTCAAAGGTGGAATTTCTGGATCATATGGTATTTTTATTTTTAATTTTTGAGGAATCTCTATACTCTTTTCCATAGTTGTGTACTAATTTACATTCCTACCAATAGTGTACCCAAGGTCCCTTTGCTCCACATCCTTGACAGCACTAGTTATTTCTTGTCTTTTCAATGATAGCCATTCTAACAGGAATTTTCCTAATGATTAAGTGATGCTGAGCACCTTTTAATATACCTTTTGGCCACTGCATATGTTTTCTGGGAAAGTGTTTATTCAAGTCCTTTGCTCATTTTTAAATCGGATTATTTGTTTTTATGCTATTGAGCTGAAAGAGTTCCTTATATATTTTGTATATTAACTCCTTATCAATATGTGGTTTGCAAATATATTCTCCCACTTCACAGGTTACCTTTCAGTTTTGCCAATTGTTTCTTTTGCTGTGCAGTAGCTTTTTATTTTGATGTGCTCTCACTTGTTTATTTTGTTTTTGTTGATTGTGATTTGGTGTCATATCAAAAGAAAACCTCATTGCCTAGACCCTTACCAAAAAGGTTTTTTTAATGTTTTCTTCTAGGAGTTCTATGGTTTCAAATCTTGCATTTAAGTCTTTAATGCATTTTTAATTTTTGTAAATGGTTTAAGATAGGGGTCCAGTTTTTTTTTTTGTATGTGAATAACCAGTTTTCCCAATATCATTTACTGAAGAGACTACCCTTTCCCCATTAAGTGTTCTTGTCTCTCTTGTCAAATATTAGCTGCCTGTGTATGCACGAGTTTATTTCTGGTCTCTCCGTTCTGTTCTATAGATCTGTGTTTGCTTTTATACCAATACAATGCTACTTTGATTACTATAACTTTGTAATACAGTTTGAATCAGAAAGTGTGATATTTCTAATTTTGTCCTTCTTTCTCAAAATTGCTTTG